CGAGGATATACAGGTGATCATTGTGTGGACTTGCTGTTTATTGGCCATAAAGCTGTCTTTTGTTCTCTTGCAGGATCCAGATTTGACAGTTCGGACAATGTGCTGTCCCAGCTGAACTATTTCATCCAGCTTAATTTTTCCAGACATAATCTCTAAAATATAAACCAATCACCTCATGTTGGATTTGCCATAAATGTACTTGGTGTAGAATAATGTAAACAAGCCTGACAACACTGTCTACAAACATTCTTGGCAATTCTTTTCACAGAGATTACTCGAATATTAAAATCAGAACCATATAGATTTAGTTTATATCAGCATAGTCCATTTGGTTCTAACCGTCTCAGAAACAAAACTATTCCCCAGTGGGCACTCTCGTAAATGAGCTTTTCTGCTGAGTGACTTGAGATTACAGACTAAACATAAAAACAGAATATTACAGGGCTGTATCTGACCTTTCTCCCCCGTGTGATCAATGAAGTTAAAAATTAATCAATATTTCTAATTATAGTTCATAAAATAGAATCATAATACATGAACGATCTTAATTGCTTCTTTAAAACATTTCTGTTTCTAATTCATGTTCTAAATATTGCCAAAATGTTATAACTTGAGATGATATTATATTGATTTAGTTTTTCCTCATTGGATTGTGAAATCCTTAAGAATGGGGAGAGCCTTTTATTTTCTTAAATTTCTGCAGTAGTTTTTCACATATGGAGTATCCTTTATTGGTTTCTCAGTGAAGCTCTGAAATGCCAGACTTGCACTTATCTGTGAGGGAAAAAACATTGAGCAGCTCAACTCTACACATGACTCCCCACCATGAAAATTGGGACCTAAATAGAAACTTTAGAAGCATCAGTTCTTCCACAATTTGAACATGATTTTATGAAACACACGTGTTCAGAGCAACTATATATATACGTATATATATATGTGTGTGTGTATATATATATATACACACACATACATATCACATATATATACACACATACATATCACATATATACACACACATACCACATATATACACACATACATACATATCACATATATATACACACACATACATATCACATATATATACACATATACATATCACATATATACACACATACATACATATCACATATATTTGAGAGTACACTTAAGATAGTTCAGGTCCAGGTTTAGTCTTGAATAAAGTCACATAAAACTGGCTGCTCTGAGGAAAACCATGTTTGCGGAGGGAGAAGAGTTTGATAGGGGAGGTGGGGAAGGAGAGAAAAATATATTTATTACTACAGAGTGCTGTAAGACTTCTTCATGTGTATTACTCTAAAAACTTATATTTGCTCAGCCAAATCTTGGTTTTGATGGTTATTTGCTGTGGACAACTACAGATAAACAGAAAACACATTGCTAGAGATGTTCATACTCTGCTTTTTCCAAGGAGAACAAGTGACTCCAAATATTTTAAATAAATGTCCTTTTAGCCTGGATGGACTGGTTGTCTGTGGCTGTTCCATCATTCACATCCAGTTCCCTTACTCCATGATCAAATAGTCCAACCCCTTTGTGAGCTGCACTTGGGAGACATAAATAATGTTGCATATATTATTTATAGAATTCACAGAACCATGGGTAAGCTATTTAAAATCTCCTTTTCCTCCCAAAAGTTAATCTTTTCTCTCTTCTCTCATGTTTATAGATTTAACATAGTTTGGAATGATGTAACTCTTATTCTTTAAGAGTAAGTCCATAACCATGTGGACTCAGCTTTACTATGACATACTGTCATTATTACTCCAACACATTCTTCTGAAAATGAAACAATTCAAGTATCTATTTAAGACTTAGTTACACTAACCTAAGTTTTATGGCTATAGTTTTCTTTGACTTAACTAGCTGTTTAGCACAAATCAGCCATGTGTTTGGGTATATTGTCAAGGTGTGCTGTTCCGTGCATTTGGCCTGTTTAAGAGTGATTACAGAGTTTTCACTTTTCTCATTTCTCTTTAGCGTTTAGAATATTTGTGTTGGAGTGAAGCTCTAGAACTAAACTCATAATACTGATGGAGAAGTCTTAAGAGGAAATTTATGTCTGCTTGTTTTATTCATGATCTGTGCCCTTTACCTAATTACCTCAGGTCCAAGATCTAACCAAAGACACTCAGCAATTAATGAAATTGGAAGTAATAAAATAGCTCAAGGAATTTTATTAAGGGAGGCCTTAATAACATCACTCCGTCAGCAATTTTTAATCTATTTTTCATTTGATGGTTTGTTAACTTTTGATTATTTATGGCAATATTTTATGATTTAGTACAGTGTGATAAAGAATACCTTAAAAAGTTATATTTCTGCTGTGTAAACCCAAATATCTATTGGATATTGCATGGGAACATTTAATTTCATAATGGCATTTGCTTTAGAGTTGAAACGCTATGAACTGTGTTCTTTTGAATTTCCCACGTGGTCTAAAACTAACAGATTATTAGCAAATAACTTTTTAAACATTAAAACAAAAACTGAGCCCATATATTAAATTTCCAAAGGTGGGAAGAGTATATTGTGTTCTGTGTATAACATATAAAACTAATCATAATTTTTTTCAACATCTGATATTACCACTCTGCAAAGAATATTTTTTTAATTATTTAAGCCATCAGGTCACAAGAGTTTTAATCAGCATGCTGCCTTATAAAAAGAAAAAAGAAAGGCATTTCTTCATTTTCTTTCCCTAATATCTATACAGTTCAGGGAATTAATCCCTGATCCCTGGTCTTATCATAAAAAAATCACAGCTGTAGTGAGACTGTGATGAAGATAATGTTGATTAAGTACCTACCAGCATGCCTGAGACAGAGTAGATGCTCAATGATATCAGTTCTTTTCCATAATGAAAAAAATCTAATATATTCCAATCTCCATGGATAAGCAATTTACACATCCATGTGTATGTACTTGTATGCACCTGCATACGTGCGTGTGTGATTTGGGGTTGGGTCACTCTAGTGCTCTATCTATATGATCCCAAAATTAATATTTAATCCAGGATGAAAAGTCAGTTAAAAATAGTTTTCTTAGTGTCGTGCATATAGACCTTTAGTGTATTTCCTGTAAGTGTTTGCTTGCATTTGTTTACGGAAACAGTGACAGGATAAGAATGTTTTCATGGAGTAGATGAGGCCAATTTTCACCAAAGCATGTTCGGGACTGAGGTTCTGGGTGGCAGAGTCTCCATGAAGCAGCATTTAAAAACTGAAGTTTGAAAAATATTCTTCGTAAAGAAGGTGTTTATGTGGGTAATTATCATTAGCAATTAGGTTTCAGGGAAAAATCCACAAGATAAGTATATACCGTGGAAAGGGAAAATGCCAGTCTATGGGGCACTTAGAAGTACACAGTACTTTTTGACCCAGTCATTAAAAGTCAGACACAGACCTACTAGAGAACGGACTTGAGGATATGGGGAGGGGGAAGGGTGAGCTGTGACAAAGTGAAAGAGAGATACAGACATATATACACTACCAAACGTAAGGTAGATAGCTAGTGGGAAGCAGCCGCATGGCACAGGGAGATCAGCTCGGTGCTTTGTGACCGCCTGGAGGGGTGGGATAGAGAGGGTGGGAGGGAGGGAGGGAGACGCAAGAGGGAAGAGATATGGGAACATATGTATATGTATAACTGATTCACTTTGTTATAAAGCAGAAACTAACACACCATTGTAAAGCAATTATACCCCAATAACGATGTTAAAAAAAAAAAGTTATTACTGAACCAACACCAAGGACGATTTTTACACTTGGCCACATCTTAGTACGTGAGTCGATTGAAAGGGATTAAAGTAGGACCTGACAGATTCACATTCACAACTCTCTAATAATCACTGGAATAGAAGAGCAGGCCTTAGTCATAACGATAAAGAGATATTAATAATGAGATGAAATTAGTTTTAGCTCTATTGGAAATAAAGCCAACAAAATTTTGCATTGCTTTGATTTAGAAACTGTAAACAAAATGTCACAAGCATTTGGAAAAAAAAAAAGAGAGAGAACCTACAAATGACAAGCAGGCAGGAAGGAAAGACACTTGCAGACAAGTTGAAATCCATAGGCTACAATGCTCAGTGGGGAGTCTTCAGCTGGAAGTGTAATAGTCAGCCCTTGGCTGACTTAGAATAGCAAGTAAGCTTTTGAGAATGTTTCAGACTTTTAGCTAGATTCAGCTAAAAGGATTTGCTTGACATGGCTCAGTAGTTTATAGGATTTTCTTCTCAAATGCTCAAATAGGATTTTCTTCCTTAAAAGTCTCAGAGGAAGAAGTAAAACCTTATTTTGAATACTTGGTCTTGTCTTGGTTACTTTTCAATATTAATTATATGTTAGTATGTATCTTCACAGTTATTTAATCTTGATATTTCTCCGGTCTCACCCATCATTTAGACGCCTTGCAGAGTACAGAGCTGGATTTATCTAAATATCAAATCTACATGTCTTCTCAATGAGTAATTTTGGCTATTTTGGGGTTTGGCTATTTACATTAAAGTTGAATGGTGACTCACCATCTACACTTTGTAAGATATAAAAATCAACTCAGAATTTTATAAGCATTATGACTTTTTTTTCATATGGTGAATATATTTGTCTGAAATCTCATTTTTACTCCTCAAAATTTTTTTCTGTTTTCCCCTGTAGTTTCAAATATTCATGAAAATAGCACTGTACTTTATTAAAATGAAATGCTAAATGAAAACATTAAAAATTTTCATGTTGCCAAATTACCACATGTATAAATAATTTGGGAGGGGTGAGAAAATACATTTGATAAAGTTATTTTGAATAAGGTAAACTGATGTCTAGATTTTATCTAAACTTCACAGCCCCAGAAAATAAAGTCTCAAATTAAATGGAAAATTTCCACCATTTGGGTTTTTCACAGACCTGCTCAGTTTTTCTATGATATACATTTTCTTGATACGAGAAGGAAGCTGTGAATCATTCTAATGGGTTAAAGTGTCTTGGGGCAGTAGTGTTAGAGCACTGGCGAGGACTTTATCTGCTCTGTCGTCACATACCAGTATTGGCTGTTTCCTCTCTTGGGTTGATAACTGCACAGATTCTCACTTTCCTTATCATCCATTTTCTTCTACTTCATGAATCAACTTTGGCTAATGGTTATTTCAGAAGCCAAGCAGGTGTCATCAAAAGACACTTCCGTGGCAGACAAGTAAGTGTCAGTGACAGTGATGTCATCAAGCTCTGTGCTGACATGATCTGACTCCTTGATGACGCTGTAATTGAGGGCCACACTGTAGTTAGCCGGTTTCTCCACCGGCTCCTGCTTACAGTTGCAGAGCTTTCTGAAGGCTGCACGGAATTTCTGGGACATGAGATTGTAAATCACTGGGTTGATGGCACTGTTGAGATAAATGCAAATTCTGCAGAAGAGCAAGAACCAATTTTCTTGGAAAGGGCTGGAGAGAAATGAGTTGACAACCACAAGAGTTCTGTAGGGCATCCATAAAAGGGCAAACAGAATGACAACCACTGCCAGCATCTTGGTGACCTGTGGAGAAACAGAAATGCAAAGCAAACACAAATTAAAACAAAACAGAACCGAAACGTGAAAATAAAACGACTCCGCCTCTGCCCTCCTCCAGCATTTAGTTCCCAAGATGTAGTCTGAGACAAGGACTTAAGTGTAGGCAGTTTACAGTATTTGGGAGATGAACCCAGGAAGCAGGATTAAAGGCATAGAAGAGAGTGTGACAGAGGAGGAAAAGCCAAAATACGGTGTGTTTTTGAGACAACTCCTACTGCGGGCAACTGTGGATCAAGTAATGCGTTTCGGGATCATCTGTCCAGAGACAGGGAAGCTGAGGCATTTATCTACTGGCTGCCATCTCCCCTTTGTTGAGAGGTGCCTTAGGGGCTTTAAATGCACGGTACTTTCAAGTTTCACCTACCTGGAAACTCCTAGGGGCTTTAGACAGAACCTTGAGGCGGAGAAGAGAAGAGACAGTCAGGGGACATTGGATGCCTGTAGTGCGGTCTTCTCAGCAAGCAGGAACCATCCACAATAGCCATGAAATCATGGCTGAAACCACAGTCTGTCTCAGAGGATGTGACCCAGGGCACCAAAAGTGTCTGCTCTGAACGCTAGGACACCTAGGGTCTAATCCCATCTTTACTCACCTTTCCTTCAACAGCAACACTTTACATATTTTAAAATAAGTTTTTAGTTATCTATAGTCTCTTACAGAGTTTGACAAATTTCAGCTTCCTCAGCCCAGACTTTCTAGATGTTCTGAACTTGAAAACTACCGCAAATAGAAGGAACTGATACTTCCTCTTTCATCCTTCCCCACCTCTCAGCTGTTTTCCTAAAGCCCTCTCCACCAGCCTCTATCTTGTTCTGGCATTGAGAGAGATCCTGTTTTTACACAGGGCTTTTAAAAGTTCTTTAGTGTAGAAATAAGGATTCCACAGCTAGATACCCACTCTGTCATTAGTATCTACTATAAATTCAGCTCCTTGTACTTAATCCTGATAATAGAATCCATCTTGCTCTCCTGTGTTAGAATACCTTCCGTTCCCCTCCTGGCACTCCTTCTGATACTGGGGCTCTGTCCTACCCTTAACTATATCTTGTCCACCCCAGGAACTCCCCATGAATCCCACATCGTGGGGGTAATGCTACCCTCTTGCTGTTATTCTATAGTAACTGCCTTCTTCCGTGGCTCATACCATTTGCTGTAAGACTTCTCACTTAGCGACACACATAGCCTTTATCGTTTTTTGAACCACTACTATCTTTTTTTGAACAACTCCTACAACTTCTTTGCAATGGCGCCTATGAGCTCTCTATACACCTACTCTCAAGCTACTGTGTTTCCTCTGCTTCCAGGGCCATTTGATCACTTTCTTGAAGTCCTTCCTACCCTCTAAGAATGTGCCCCACGCCCTCCAGCTCTACCTCACTCACCGTTCCCTGAGTGATCACTGTTCACTGTCCTTCTGACTCACCGCGTGTAGGATAATTACATTTTACATTTGGCTTACTGGGGTAGGGAAGTTGTTCAGTGGGAAGATATGACTTTCACATTGGTTCATTTAATACCAAGTAAAACATTTCAGAGATTCTTGACTTCTTTCAGAGATAAAGAGGATCTATTCAGACAAGAGGTTAATGGAAGCCTGCTTTTTCAAAGCTGACTTTTAAAATTATGAGTAAATATTTTAATTGATCCTAGGAAACTAAAGGCTTAATTCAGTGATAAATACTCTGAGCTTTGGAAGGAGCCACAGTAATTATCATCTTCATCGTCTTCATCATCACTCACATCCCTGCCTGTTTCCACCGCCCGGAACTCCAGGTTCTCTGATATCAGGTCACTGCTTCACACTTACCAATATCCTCTCACTCCTTGCCAAGGACTAAGCATCTTATATTTGAGCCCCCAGTTTGATTTACAATTGGAGTGCTAGCATCACATTTGAGTCTTTATAAATGGCCCATCATAAAGATATGTAAACATAATCTTATTTAATGCTTTTAATAATAACTCCGTGTGTAAGCTAGTATTGGTTCTCTTTTGCCTATGAAGAAATTGAGGTTTAGAGAGTATATGTGATTTGTCTAAAGACACATGGCTAGTAAGTGACACCCATGATTCGAGCTAAGTCTGCTTAAGCCAAAGCCCATGCTCTTTCCTTTATACTTTGCTCTCCCTGTGAAAGTCTTTTGCATTTTCATTAATGATATTTCTACCATGTTACTCCCACATGGTTGCCAAAAACATTTAATCTCTTCTAAGTATAATTTCAACATACTTATTGCTGCTTAATTTCTGAACTTAAAGGTTGAATTTTACCTGTTTATTTTTCCCTACTATTTTAAGATGAAACACTGAATGCACATATAATATCTACCTACCTCTTTTTAATTCATGTAAGGGGGCAACTTTCATTGTCTCAAAGAAAAGCAATTTGTTTCTAGGTTAGTATCTCTGCCATGCGCTTCCACAGGCCCCCATGCATACATTGGCATCACTCCCCAAACTTTTAATTGCAATGAGTTATATTTGTCCACCTGTCCAATAGATGGTGAGCTTCTTCAGGACATGAGTAAAGTTTATTCATTTCTCTTTCCTCAGGTATTTAATACAGTATGTGACATAAGATAGCCCTCAATTAATGTTGAATAAATTCAGGCATGGAAAGTATTATTTCAAAATATGTAATCATGATCCTTTTCTGTTTTTTTTTCATTCAGTGAACATTTATTAAGCACTTGCCATATCCTAGGGACTTTTCTAGATGTTGGGGATTCGAACAGTAAGGCTCTCTCCTCTTTTCATGTTGCTTGTATCAATGCATTGTGAAGTCACTGACTTTATACATTAAAAATAAGCAGACTGTGATATGTGCCTTGTGATATATATGAGTCCAGGGTTCTGAGGAAGGATTAACTTACTCCACCTGCAGAGAAGGGGAGGCTTCATGAACCTGGTTCCCTTGGAGCTGCCCCCTATTCACTCCATACTCCATCCTGGAGGAGACACCATTCCTCGAGTATTCCTTTTCTGGGTTTTTAATACTCCAACATATTGTTAGAGGATTTTTGCAAACACTTAATTTTTTAATATTAAAAATCCCTTTTAAATAGAGATTGGTTAATTAGTAAAATGAGTCCTTAATATACTTCAGCTTTTTGTTTGAAATATACATTTTTTAAATGTTAAGGAAGTGTTAAAATAAAACAAATGCAGTGATGTTTCGAAGACTGTCCCGGAGGAACATATGTCTCCAGTGGGATAATAGAGAATACATTCAATCTCACTCATAATTATTTTTAGTTAATTCCAAATATCTTTGATTGAGCTTAATCACTTTCTAAAATGTTCCCAAGTTTTTGGTGTAGCCATAGCTTGGATTTTAATAGTTCTTAATACAGGAGCAAATACCTAGAAAGGAAATGTCCTAGAGATTGTCTTCCATACCCAATTAATTTCACTGTCGGTTGCTGAAGTTTTATTTCTGTTGTGGTTCCAAATAAGTGACAAAAATGCAAATTTGAAAATATTGTTGGGCCATTGTTTTTAGGCGTTGACATTTTTACTGGGGAAGTGCATGGGATACACAATGGGTTGAAAGATTGCTTATTTACAGACGCCTCTGCCCCAGGACCTAAAGGTCTTTGAGAAACAGCATGAAACAATCTTCAGGGGAAAATGATCTTACCATATATATATATATGGTATATATATATATATATATATCTATATATTTTTGATTGGGAAGGAATTAATTTACTCATTTACTCTAGGAGATTCATTGGCATTCCTACTGTGTACCAGTCAATGTCCTGGCTGTTGAGGATTCGACAGTGACCCAGAGACACATTGCCAATAGCTTCATGTATCTTATAATCTGATACAATGTGACAAATGCTAAGACAGGGGAAAGTTTTGGTTCTATGAGAGCCCCCGATCTGGACCTGAGGTTGAGTGAGGATTTGGTCTCAGTGGTAGTTAAGCCAAAGTCTGAAGATAAGGAGAGGCAGGACAAGTGTTACTGCAGAGGCTGGGTGTGTGTGACAATCTGGAGGCATGAGATAGTGGGGCATAGCATGAAGACTAGAAGTAATTTAGTGTGCAAGTTCTAACTGCAGACCATGGAAAGAAGTGGAGCGATCTCTTTTCTCTAGGAAGCTTGTGGAAATCATAACAAAATCCATCATTTTCTGTGGGGTGCTTGGCATTCCTTCTGCTAGGACAGAAGGGGAGATGCAGCTGCCACAGGGGATGTAGAGTGTTGAGTCCTAAAAGGGTCAGCTCCATGGAGCTAAAAAGTCAACGAAGAAGTAGGCAGCCATTTTTGCAGAGTATATTGAGGGCAAGGAAAAGAGGTCATAAAAATCAGTTGATTAAAACATAGTGTTCAGCTGGAGAAACTGCTTACAGGGATGGCTGAGAAGAGCAGGGTGGGAACAGGAGGGTCTAAGGTGGGCAGGCCCCGTCCTTGGCCACCATGGTGAAGGGTTAACTTTTTCGTGAGTATCAGCTGGAAACTTTAGAATCAAGCCCTACTATATATATTTTACTCTTTATGATATTTAATTATGTGGAATAAGTGCCATATAGTTCTCACAAGAGAGTTTAATTCAGTCCTCAAAACATCATTTTGTAATCTATAAAATCTCTAGATAAAGACCCTATTCAAGGATTTCTTTTCTTCCTTTAAAATTTTTTTTTAAAAATACATGAACTGGGTAGATGTCTATCTGACTGTTGAGATGTCTATCTGAAGGTTGAGATTACATTTCCCTGAGTGGACACAAGCTCAACTTTGCATATGTGTGCTGTCTGTGAAAAACCAGAGGCGAACTAGTTTCTCTATTCTAGGCTGCTGAGGAACCTCGTTTTACTAACTACTATCTCTAGTACTATGACTTTTACTACAAGTTCTAAAACTATTAGCTAACGTTTGTATATAACCTTTAAAAAGACAGTGTTAGATTTATAGAAAAGTTGCAAGGTTAATACAGAGAGTTTCCAAATACCC